GTTTTAAAATTGATCCAGTCAACTGGTTATTTTATCGCAAAGGAAATAAGCATAACCCACTTTTTTTAAGACTTATTTTATTTTTATCGGAAAGGCAGAAATACAGAGAGGAGAAGAGACAGAGAGGAAGATCTTCCATCCGATGGTTCACTTCCCAAGTGAGCACAACGGCTGGAGCAGAGCCAATCAAAAGTAGGAGCCAGGTCTCCCACGCGGGTGCAGGTCCCAAGGCTTTGGGCCGTCCTTGACTATTTTCCCAGGACACAGGCAGGGAGCTGGATGGGAAGTGGGGCCACTGAGACACAAACCAGTGCCCATATGAGATCCTGGCACATACTAGGCAAGAACTTCATCCACTAGGCTACCGCACCGGACCTGACAAATTTAACAGTGGCAACTGCCCTTCAAAGCCCTGACGTCTACTCCATCACAGGGAAACAGAACTGCAGCCCCACCCCCTCCATGGGGCGCACCTTGGGCCACCTGCCCTCCAGGATCATCCGGACGCTGTGGAAATGCCGTTGGAAGGACAGGAGACTGAGGCAGTGGGAAGGCATCCCAGTCCCTGGTAGGCAGACTCGGCATCCCTCAGGAGGCAGCACTGCTGAACTGCACACACATTCCCAGCCAGATCTCCTGTGTCCACCTGCCCCCCAAGCGTGGTGCCCACAGCCGGCCATGGTTGAATCACCAATGTGGATCAGACCGAGGTGACCCACACACTCGAAGCCACAAGCCCCCAACTCAGGATCGCACAAGATCGGCACGTGGGGCAGTCACTCATGCCCAGGCAGACCCCGGGCCAAACCCCGGAGCCTGTGGCTCTGCCAGGAGCCCCCCCGCTCCATGGGGGTCCTTCAAAGGAGCAGGAGTGGAGAGAAGCAACGACGGGGCAGGGTCCAGCAGCTGGGTCCTGCAGGCTGCCCGCGGCAAGGAGCAGGCTGTGTCCCCGCGCCCCCAGGCGCCCCCCACCAGAGGCCCCGTCACACCTAGCTCCGATGCGTCTCTTCTGCAGCAGGCCCGCGGCAAGGAGCAGCGCTGCCTGTTGGCAGCACAGAATCACCCTCCTGCACCTGCTGGGCAGAGATGCCCGCCTGCCCTCTGCCCCTCGCTGGCCTTCACCCTCCGGCCCGCTGGACCCTGCGCCGTGGCCATGGCAGCCGCTGCGCCTCCTTCCTCTCGCTGCTCGCTTTGCTCAGACAGCGAGCGACCCCAGAGCCCGCGCCCTGCCCGGTCACCGCTGCCACCTGCTGCGCACGGCCCTCCAGCCCGAGGCCCCGGCCTCCCTGGGCACCCTCCGAGGGCAGCAGGAGGGGACAGCACCCAGACGGCCAGCACGGCCAGGACAAGGCGCGCCACCTGGGAGCAGGGACGCCGGGGCTGAAAACCCAAGGGGAAGCAGCGAGGAGGGCGCGGGCACCGAGAGGCGACCGCGGAGCCGCGGCTCGCCCTCCCGCAGCCCCCGGGCACCCGGCCGGGGGTGTGTCCACTCCCCGCGACGCCGACCCTCCCCTCACGCCGAGGGGCCCGTCCTCACCCGTGCGGCGCCAGAGCCGTGGCCGGTCCCTCGGCCTCAGTGCTGGACGACGGGCGCCCGCCTGGGGTCGGGCCGTCACCTCAGGCCGGGGTCACGGAGCGAGCATGCGCAGCAGAGCCGAGGCGCCCGCCGCTCCTGGTTTCCCCGAGCCGCGGCGAGCTACGCGCCCAGCCAATCGGCGCTGGGAGCTGGGGCCACGCCTCGCGGCGGGGCGGGGCCGCACTGATGGGGCGGGGCCTGCCGGGGCCGGATGTCCGGCGCGGGGAGCGTCCCACGGCCGCCGGGTCCGCGCGCCGGGGAATCGGCTCTCGGGGTCTCGCCCGGTGTCCGGTGTTCGCAGGGTCCGCAGCCTCCTGCAGCGAGGGGCCTCGACGTCTAGGGTTTCTTAACATAGAAGGCGAACATTCTGGAAGCTCTTCCTGCCCGCCCCCCGCCGGGGACGGCCACCATCCGGGCTGAAAACCCCCACGTGGCCGTGATGACCCGGGCTGGGCGCAGGTCCAAACCGGAGCCAGGAGGCTCCCTCCCTCTGAGGGGCTTGTGAACCATGGCCTCTGCCTCATCCGGCTCCCTCTCCTCTCGCGAAATTTGTTGTCATCAAATGCATGGCGGAGTGCGGGGTTGGGGGCTGCCACTTGGCACACTTCCCCCACCCCACCTGTCTTCAATCACCTCTGGCAAGGGACGGCACGCAGAGGGGCTGAGGTCCCTGGGACCCCATTCCGGGAACCGGGGAGCCCTCAACCCTGGGGCTTCTGGGGAGAGATGGCAGTGTAACTGGCCTGTGCACTGGGGCAGGGACCACAGCTCACGTGCCAGGTCTCACGCACCGAGTCTCAGCTACCCTGGCCTCATGTGCCCGCAGCTGAGCACCCTCACGTCTGGGGCAGGAGGAACAAGGCATGCCGCCCCAAGTCCTGGGACTCCTCATCTCAGAAGGTTGAGCCATCTCCAGGGAGGGCCACGGTGGCTCTTTGTCCCCTGGCTCCCTGGCGGCAGTGCTCTGTCCTGGTCTGCACATGGCAGAGCCGGCTGGGTAGGCACCAGTGCTCTGAGGGGGGTGTGGGCATCTCCAGCAGGGCCTTAATGTCGTACCCCCCCACACACACTTACGCCACAAAGGGGTGAGGCTGCTGGGGCCCATGGTCACCCACTGCCCACTGCAGGGACAGTCTGCACTCCCTGGCAGCAGGAAAAGCCGCCTCAGGGAACCCACCTGGTTGCAGGGAAGGGCTGGTGCGGATCCCAACGGTGCAGCTGCACATCCCAGGAGCTGTCAGTGTCCCCAGCCCTGGTGTGTTCTGTTGAACCAGAACGGGCACTAAGGTAGCGGGTCAGTTCTCGGTCCCCCCGACTGTAGTACAGCCAACGAGTGGTTGTTACACTGTAGGCGGGCAGCAAGTAGGCAGGTTGCGGTTGGTCATGGCACCTGGTCAGTGTTAAAGCGCAGAGGGCACTGGCAAGTCACCGGGCCGGTAAGCGTCACAGCTCCGCAGGTGTCCTGTGGTCACAGGCAGTGCTGCAGCCGGGGCCAGCACAGCTCCATAGCCAGCAGCAGCAGCCACTACCGCTATTCCGGGTGTACCCAAATGAATCACCAGGAGTCAGAAATCAAAGGGGGCCCGGCGGCGTGGCCTAGCGGCTAAAGTCCTCGCCTTGAACACACCAGGATCCCACATGGGCGCCAGTTCTAATCCCGGCAGCTCCACTTCCCATCCAGCTCCCTGTTTGTGGCCTGGGAAAGCAGTCGAGGATGGCCCAAAGCTTTGGGACCCTGGAAAGAAGTTCCTGGCTCCTGGCTCCGGATTGGTGCAGCACTGGCAGTTGCACTCACTTGGGGAGTGAATCATTGGACGGAAAATCTTCCTCTCTGTCTCTCCTCCTCTCTGTATATCTGACTTTGCAATAAAAAAAAAAAAATCAGGGAATTGGGCAGCCCCCAAATTCCTGGAAGTGCCTGTCTCCCTTGCAGAGCCCCCGGGGCTCCAGATCACTGAACAGGGGGCTCGTGCCCATGTGGGGTCCTCACTCTGGGGTGGTCCACACTCCCTCCTGTGTTGCAATCTCACCCCCTTCCTCCACCAACCTGCATCGATGCCTCAGCCTCAGATTCTCAAATTCCTTTGGGGGTTGGAGACCAGAGCCTGGATCTCTGAGGTCCCTGACAGAACCACAAGAATTGAATCTCTGCTTCTTGCACCTCCAGCATGGATGCAGGCTCACGGACCTGGCCCAGCTGCATGGAGGGTCATCAAGCTAATAAAAATCCCCTGCAATACAAGTTAAGCACATGGCCTCGGCAGGACTGGAGAGTGAATGACACAACAGTGGGCTGAGGGACAAACTGGGGATGGCTAGGAGCCCTGGGCACCATCCTGGCTGCAGCTCCAGGGCGGTCCTTAAGAGGGACCATATGTGGGCCTAGTGCAATAGCCTAGCAGCTAAATCCTCAGCTTGCATCTGCCACGATCCCATATGGTTTGTATCCTAGCTGCTCCACTTCCCACCCAGCTCCCTGCCTGTGGCCTGGGAAAGCAGTGGAGGACGGCCCAAAGCCTTAGGACCCTGCACTTGCATGGTTGATACAGAATAAGCTCCCGGCTCCTGGCTTCGGACCGGTTCAGCTCTGGGTGTTGCGGTCACTTGGGGAGTGAACCAGCAAAGGGAAATCTTTTTGTCTCTCCTTTCTGTAAATCTGCCCAATAGAAGGAAAGGCAGGAAGGAAGGGGGAAGGGACTGACCCCTGGTGGCCCTGTTGGTCAGCCACTCTGTCCTGACCACCCTCAGACAGCCAGTGGGTGGACTGCTTCTCCTGGTCAGGTCTGCTGTGAGCCAGCCTGAGCCCACCCTGCCCTGGTCTCTGGGAGGGGACTGCGCAGCTGGGGGCCCTGTGTGGGGCTGGCTGACTGGGCTGAGCCCCACACAGCTTTGGTGGGATGGGCAAGGATCCCACAGAGCCCAGCCAGCCTGCAGGTCCACCCCAGCCCCTGAGGCTTCCTTGGGGGACAGCCCAGGTGTCCCCACAGAGCACCACTCAAAGCCTCTTTGTCTGAGGCCAGTCAGGTGTAGCCGCAGCCCCGCCCCACCTGGTAATGACCCCCTGGCTGGTCCTCCACCCTCCTGCCCTTTAAGCCCCGAAGCCTTCTCCTGGCCCAGTCAACAGTGAGGGCACCAGGCTGTGAGGGTGAGGGCAAGTAGGGTGGAGGAAGTGAACGGGAGCAGGTGAAGGAGGCTGCCAGCTTCTGCAGAGCCTCCTATGGAGCTGGGGGTGGGCAAGCTGCATAGCTGGAGGGTCTGAACCTGGGCCATGGGCATTGTCCAGGACCAGCTGGGGTGGGGGAGAGGATCAGGTAGGGGGTGGTGGGCTTGTGCCCAGAGCAAAAGACTCCTTTCTTCTCCCAGGGGCTCCGAAACAGAGTCCTGAGCCACAGCCACTGGTACCTTACCCAGGTCTGTAGGCAGAATGGAGGGGGCTTTCTGTGCCGGGGTCCTGCTGCTGCTGGTGCTAGGTGAGCACGTTGGGCGTGGGAGGGGAGGGGGGGTGTCTCTTCCCACGCTGGATGCAGGGACCCTGGCTCCAGCCCATCCTTCTGGGTCCTTCCGTGAGAGCACCCTTGGGCATCCTACAGACCTGGGCCATCTCCCACGAGTGTGTAATAGGCCCCTCACCCCCACAGTGCTCTCCGGCAACCGATTGCACAAAGCCTAGCAGGGGATCAGTGTGACTAGTGGCTTCCACGCAGCTCCTCCCCGGTAATCTCTCCCCTCCTCCAAGACCATTATCCGGCACCAAATCCATAATCCGGCCCCCTCCCTGCTTCCCACCCAGGAGCTGCCGCGTCCCCGGCGTCCCCGGCGTCCCCGGCGTCCCCGGCGTCCCCGGCGTCCCCGGCGCGGGCAGGTAAGTGGCCTCCGAGGGCCTTGTGTGCAGCGCCCAGTCCTCCGCCGTCCTCACGGCCCCTTGTCCCCTCGCAGCCTGCGGGCAGCCCCGTGTATCCAGTCGGATCGTAGGGGGCCGCGACGCCCGGGAGGGAGAGTGGCCGTGGCAGGCGAGCATCCAGCGCGCTGGGGCGCATGTGTGCGGCGGGTCGCTCATCGCTCCCCAGTGGGTGCTGACGGCGGCGCACTGCTTCCCCAGGTCCGTGTCCTCCCCAGGCCCCCGCGGGGGGACCCCAGCAGGTGGGTGGGCAGCGGCGGGACTCCTGCTGCTCCTGTCCCGCAGGCGGGCCTTGCTGTCCGAATACCGCGTGCGTCTAGGGGCGCTGCGCCTGGACCCGGCCTCGCCTCGCGCGCTCTCCGCGCCGCTGCGGCGGGTGTTGCTGTCCCCCGACTACTCCGAGGACGCGGCCCGAGGCGATCTTGCGCTGCTGCAGCTGCGGCACACCATACCTCTGAGCGCCCGCGTCCAGCCCGTCTGCCTGCCCGAGCCCGGCGCCCGCCCGCCTCCAGGTTCCCTGTGCTGGGTCACCGGCTGGGGCAGCCTCCGCCCGGGAGGTAAGACCGGGGGTATGGGAGAGACTGCCCTTCCTTCATCAGACTGGAAACCCCAGTCCCAATCGAGGACCCAACGCAGCTTCTAGGAACTCAGATGTTCCAGCCTGATTGCGATGACGAGCCTGGCAGGTCGGCCTCGCAGGTTCGGTTTCTCCCTGGGACCCTAACCTGCTGCCCTGGCCTCGGGGTCTGAGATCTCTGCTCTGCCTCTAGTTCCGCTCCCGGAGTGGCGCCCCCTGCAGGGAGTGAGGGTGCCGCTGCTGGACTCCAGAGCCTGTGACCGCCTCTACCACCTAGGGGCCAGGGTGCCCCAGGCCGAGCGCATTGTGTTGCCTGGGAACCTGTGCGCCGGCTACCTGGGGGGCCACAAGGACGCCTGCCAGGTGCGCACACACCTCTACTCCTTGTGCTCAGCACCCCACTTCGCAGGTCCCAGAAGATATCCCCAGTTTGCCCAGCGTCTCAGCACCCACTTGGCGCTACCTGCCAGGCCTGGAGCTGAGAGAGCTGCACCCAACTCTTGGGCAGGCTGCGGCTAAGTGGCCCTTCCTCCTGCAGGGGGACTCCGGAGGGCCCCTGACCTGCGTGCAGTCTGGGCGTTGGGTGCTGGCCGGCGTGGTGAGCTGGGGAAAGGGCTGTGCCCTGCCCAACCGTCCCGGTGTCTACACCAATGTGGCTGCCTATAGCCCCTGGATCCTGGATCACATCAGCCTCTGACCGGTGGGTGACACTGGCCTGGAGCCAACACCGGGCTCCTTCAGTCGGCTGGCCCAACGGGGACCTGCCCATAGCCCTTCCAGTTCTGCCACCCCTACTTGCTCCTCTGGGCTAACAGACCCTGCCAGCCCTCATCCCTCCCGGGCCTCCTGCCTTGTAGGACACACAGGGAAGGGCCAGGATGCACTCCCCCCACCCATGTTTTGCTGGAGGTGGGCAGGCAAGTGGGAAGCCCCAGCATCTCCTCTGCTGGCTCTGCTGGAGCTGGGAGCGGCCCCTGCAGCAGCCAGCGGGCACAAGAACCTGAGACCAGGGACTGGCAGCAGCTGGATTCTGCCGACACCCTGAGTGGTGCTGGGGGCATGCTCTTCTTTCCTGATCTTCAGGTAGAAGCCCAGCCTGGCCAACACCTGGACCTCAGCCTGGTGGAGTGGCAGCTGAGCTTGAAGCACTGCCTGCTCTTTGGACCCTCCAGCTGGGGATTAATAAACCCGTGCTAAGTTGTTCCCTTTGTGTCAGCTTCTGTTTTCTGCATCTGAAGGCTCATCTATTTGAAAGGCTGAATTACAGAGGGAGAGACAGAGATCTTCCATCCACTGGTTTACTGTTCAAATGGCTGTAGCAGACAAGAGACAAGAGCTTCGTCTGGGTCTCCCAAGCAGGTGCAGGGGCCCAAGCACTCGGCACCCTGTGCTGCTTCCCCAGGCCACAAGCAGGGAGCTGGACGGGAAGTGGAGCAGCCAGGACCCGAACTAGCGCCCATATGGGATCCTGGCACTTGCGAGGATTCAGCCATCAAGCCACTGAGCTGGGCCCCAACCATTCCTTAACTGACACAAAAATAAACATATAGGGGCCCGGCATCATGATGTCATGGGTTGGTCTGCTGCCTGTGTTGCCAGCATCCCCTATGGGTGCTGGTTCAAATCTCAGCTTCTCTAGTTTCAATCCAGACTCAGACCCATATGGCAGACCCCGATGAAGCTCTTGGTTTCAGCCTGCTCCAGGCTGAGCATCGTGGTCATTTGGGGAGTGAAGCAGCAGAGAGCCAGGGAAGAAGACTGTGAGATGGCCAAGGCTAGGCCGTGGAGGGGCTGGCTCCTGCCCTTCCAATCCCAATCAGTCCATGTTGTGCAGTCTGGCTGACTGTGGGACCAGGAAGGCAGGGCTTGGGTAGGTCCTGGGGGCCTCTGCAGGGGGACGCCAGCCACACGTCAGCTCCTCTGGTGAGAGCGCCCTACACGCTCCACCAGGAGCCAGTGCATCAGGCCACAGGGACTTGCGCATGAGCAGGGCCTCAGGTGTCAAGCCGGGGAGTCCAACTCCTGGGGCCTCACGAGGCAGCTGAGAGCTCCCTGGAAGCAGGGAAGGAACACTCCTTGTCAAGCCCTGAGTCGGGAGGCGGAAGGGTATTCTGTCCACTGGCTTTGCCACAGCTGCTACCCCCTTACCCGGGCCTGATCAGCTGGCGGACAAGCTGCCAGCCCACGCAGGAGGGGAATCCCTGTGGTGACAGCCAGGGAGACACCTAGGCGCCCACTTCTGAATGGATGGTGGGCCAACAGGGAGATCAGGAAATCCTGGAAACAAAAGAACGTCAAAATATGTGGGACACAGCAGAAGTGGAGAGAAAAGTTTGTTTTCCAGCAGATACAGGAAGGAAAGGGGAGGCAGCCGTCTCATCCATTCCCTCATTCCTCGATCCTTCTCGCCCCAGCTGGTGGCCCACATGGGGACACATGCGCCTCGACCGTGTAAACATCATTTTAAAAAACCGAATTATTAAAACAAACGGAACATTCGGACTGTACTCGGCTACTTCTCCTCTCCTTACTCTAGGACGTGTCTGGCCAGAGGGCTTCACCAGGCGGCACGTGTTAAACCCCTGGGTGTGTGGAGGGTCTCACTGGAGCCAACAGCTGACAGACGCAGGGGCGTCGCGAGGGGAGCGCCGGGGCCTTTTATCTACAGGCCGGCCCGCCTCGTCCAACCTCACGGCCTTCCTCAGAGGCCCTTCCCGCTGCCGACGTGCGCCTGGCGAGCACGGCGGGCGGCCGGGAGCCGGGGCGCGGGAGCCGGGGCCTGCGCGCCCCCGAGCCGGAGGAAGAGCCAGGCAGGCGCGCTCCCCCGGGCCGCCTCCCCCGCGCTCCCCGGAGGCCGCCTGGAGCCCTGCCCGCGCCCCGGGCGCCGTTGCGGGGCTGCGGGGCTGCGCGTCGCTCCGCCCGAGGCCTCGGCGCAGCGGGCCGGCGGAAGCGGTGCCCGGCGCCGGGAACAAGCCCACAGGCCTCTCCGAGGCGCGCCCCTTCCCCGCCGGGAGAGCCGAGGCTCACGCCGCAGACGCAGCCCACACCACACGCCCGGGGATGAGAGCTCTGGGCCCGACTCCACCAAGATGGCGCCTCGCCGGCGCCACCCTCCGCCCGCGTCCCGCCCGCCGCACCGAGATGGCGGCCGCGCGCCACCAGCACCTACCCGCTTCCGGCTCGCTCAAAATGGCGGCGGGCGGGGCGGGGCGGGGCTCGCGCGGGGCCTGCCGGCCTCGCACGCGCAGTCGGGAGCGGGGCGGAGCGCGGCCGCGCCGGCGCGTCGAGGGGAAGCAGCAGCCGCCGCGATGGTGAGCGGGCCCGGGCCGGGGGCGGCGGGGGCGGCGGGGCGGCGGGCCGCGCGTGGGGCCGGGGGCCGGGCGGCCGGGGAGCCGGGCCCTGCGCTCACGCCGGCCCGCCGCCCCCCAGGACGTGTTCCTCATGATCCGGCGTCACAAAACCACCATCTTCACGGACGCCAAGGAGTCGAGCACCGTGTTCGAGCTCAAGCGCATCGTCGAGGGCATCCTCAAGCGGCCGCCCGACGAGCAGCGGCTGTACAAGGTGCGGGCCGGGCGGCCGTTGTGCGGGCTCGAGGGCGGCCGCCGGGCGAGGGCTCGGGGCCGGGGTCTGCCCGGGGGCCGTGCGCCCGCGCTCAAGGGCATCGCCCGGGGGGACGAGCTCCGGCCCCGCCCGGGCTCCGCCGCAGGCGCCGTCTCCCCGGTCCCCGGCTCCGAGGACGCGGTCACCCTGCCGGACCCACGTGGGCGCGGGTCCAAAGCGGAGGTTCTGAGCGGGCCCTTCTCTCCCCAGGATGACCAGCTTCTGGATGATGGCAAGACACTGGGCGAGTGTGGCTTCACCAGCCAGACGGCAAGACCGCAGGCCCCCGCCACGGTGGGACTGGCCTTCCGGGCAGGTGAGCGGGCTTGGGGACAGCAGGGACGGCTTGGGGACAGCAGGGACGGCTTGGGGACGGCAGGGACAGCTTGGGGACAGCATGGGGACAGCAGGGACGGCTTGGGGACGGCAGGGACAGCTTGGGGACAGCATGGGGACAGCAGGGACGGCTTGGGGACAGCAGGGACGGCTTGGGGACAGCGGGGACGGCTTGGGGACAGCAGGGACGGCTTGGGGACGGCAGGGACAGCGGGGACGGCTTGGGGACAGCAGGGACGGCTTGGGGACAGCGGGGACCGCAGGGACGGCTTGGGGACAGCAGGGACGGCTTGGGGACGGCAGGGACAGGCCCAGCAGCAGAGCGGCACACCGGGGTCTCCACATCTGCTGCGTGCCCGCCCTGCGTGCAGCTGCTCCCTGGCCCCCTCCGAGGCCGGGCGGCTGTGCCCAAGGCCGGACGGTGTCAGCTCAGCAGCCACACCCCACTGTGGCCCAGCCTAACTGGGAGGGCCCGCCCCCGAAAAAGGCAGGGAAATTCTAAGTTGTTTTCATCGGAGAACATAAAACAGAAGTAGCCAGTTGAGCATGCAGGGGCAGTGTAGGAGTGGTGTGCCAAGGGACTGTTTTGCTGTACTGTGGCACAAAAGCCGAGGCTAGGCAGCGTGGTGTCCTCGCTGGGCTTCGTTTTAGGAGCAGCATCCCCTCTGGAAGCCTAGCACGGCTGCCCGCAGAAGATGGCAGGGCTGAGGGACTGGACACGGCGTCCTGTGGAGGCTGTGGGCCTCTGGCTTGCCCCAGACTAGGTCAGTCAGCTTCTGGTTCTCAGTGTCCCTGCAGCACAGCTCACTGTGTCAGATGGCCAAGCTGATGCGAGAAGCAGCGCAGGTGAACATCCCTGGAAGGGCGCGCTGGCCTTCGGGTCGGGGCTGTCCTGCCATGCCTCTCCAGTTACAAGACAACCAGTGTCCCCCCAGACAGGCCTACTTTGCCAAGGGCATTGGGTGTGGGGGGCTTATCAGTTGCAAACCTTGAGCCCAGAGGAGAATCACACAGGGAAGTAACTGATGCGAGGCTGGGTTAGCTTTGTGGTGGCAACAAGCACCCAGGCCAGAGGGGCGAGTGCAGCAGGGTCCAGTCCTGATGGTCAAGGGATGCTCAAGGAAGGGGCCAGGCTGGTGCTGTGGTTGGCACCCGAGTGCCAGGACCCCAAGTGGTGGCTCGGTTGGAACTAACTGTAGGGTAAGGGTCTGTTTCTCCTGATGCAGATGACGCATTTGAAGCTCTGCGGATCGAGCCCTTCTCCAGCCCCCCAGAACTGCCAGATGTCATGAAGCCACAAGACTCGGGGAGCAGCGCCAATGAACAAGTAGTGCAGTGAGGGCCTGGGCCTGTCACCGAAGTGTACTGCCCCCCAATAAAAGAGATTTGGGTTATCTACCTGTTGCTGCCTCTTGCTCCTCCCATTTCTGCCACCCCCCTTCAGCTTGACAGCTGGCAACCTGCTGACCCCTGAAAGCATAAGACTGGCCGGGGAGGGAGCCCTGTGTTCCTGATACCTCCCGGAAACGCCCCCTCTTCCCAGAGCAAGACAGACCGGGAATGAAGGTGTGTCCGACGGCGACACACCCTGAAGACAAGGGTGCACGGGGCTGCTCCTGCATCACTTAGTCAAACAAGCCAGACTTGGTTCCTGCATTTCTCATTTTTATTTGACAGAAAAGGTTGCTCTTGCTGTACAGATTTAAAAAAACCAAATGCCTTTTAAGAAACATGAAGAGATGGGAGGGGGCAACAACC